CCTTGATCACGTTGTTTGCCTTCCACATGTATGCATGTCCCATTGAAGAATTGCAAATGAATGACAATTCTTCTTCTGACTAATGATTATAATATAACCATTCTCATTAAATATTATCTCATGCAGAGAAACCCATTTCCAAACAAACACCTTGATATCGATCATATTTAGTTTAGATAAATTGATATATTATTAAAATATAATATCATGATTAAAACCACAATATATCCTTTAATAATAATTATCTTAACTATTCCAATCCAATAGTTGAGAGTTATGTCCACTCAACGGCCTCAATTACTTGGGCCAATTGTGTAAATTTGAACCCGAACAAATCCATAATTAAATCAATCACAAACGCTAGCTAGTTAAGTTTTCAAACAATTAACATACAAAGCTAAAGTTGGGGAAGTCTTTAGCTTTCAAAATAGACATTTTAAGACTAAATTGGAGTTGATTTGGTGAGTCAAATGTCTGATTTTCTTGAACGGCTTGGTAGAAAAATCTGGAATTTTGACACAATCATCTTGAAAAACTCACAAACATCCTCCAATTAGACTCACTCCACAATTCGTCCATTTGTTCACTTTATGCTCAAGAGGGAGTTGCATGTCCTACATTGAAAATACATAACAAAGTCTTAAAATTCTATCAAAATAAGCAATAAAATATAACTAAGAATATGGTAAAATATATGATATAATATTGACTCATCAACTACAATGAAACATTTGCACCAGTTTATAACTTTGATAACTTTGGCTGCACAAAAGGGATGGAGTTTGTTCTAGATAGATGTGAAGTTTGCTTTCCTGAATGAAAGAAGAGGTGTTCCGCCATCGCTTTAACAATCCTACACAGTTCTTCCAATTACTTACGAATTACCCATGCATATTTCAAAGGTCAAGTTTTCCTAATATATGTCCTACTTGGAACCTCCAACATAGAACGTATAATATACAACCCGTCCAGACGTTTTGATCAAATATGAACATGAAAGACTCATTAAGCTTTATGAAAACCCTTTGAAAAACCCTGCAATACTTAAGACGTGGTGTTCATCCTAAGTGAAATTACAATTATTAATGACAAGAAGCATTCCTCAATTTTAGGGTGACATTCCAACAGAAATGGCATCCAATTACTAATCTAAACATCCTAATTGTTGGATCGCCGGGCCCGCCCCACTCTAACGACACCGATACTGTCCCCACCTTTACCACTTGCCCAATCCATCAGGTGTGGGGTTTTACCACAAAAGGCCTCAGTATTAGTTAGAATGGGGTAATATTATTTAAACCCCTTGATTTCTTTTCACCCCACCGATGTGGGACTTTAACACTCCCCCTCACGTGTAACCTTATTTAGTGGTTCACACGTGGAGATCCACATCAGTAATTGAAGCTCAGAGGTCGGCTCATGTTAGGCCCACTTGTTTTCAATGGAACTCAATGGTCGTCTCTATATTAAGAGTTCAAAGTTTCCTTATGGGTGACAAGCTCATTGGCTTGCACACAAGCTCGTTGGCTTGCACGGACCCGCAACCGTGGGCTCTAATACCATGTTGGAATTTTTAGATCGCCAGGCTCGCCCTACTCTAACGACACCGATACTGTCCCCACCTTTACCACATGCCCAATCCATTAGGTGTGGGGTTTTACCATAAAATGTCTCGGTATTAGTTAGAGTGAGGTAATACTATTTAAACCCCTTGATTTCTTTTCACCCCACCGATGTGGGACTTTAACACTAATGGCCGCAAATCATTAAGACACAAAGACAGTTTAAACACAGTGATTAATACTTCAAAGCACGCATGCATAATATCATAAGCAATTAAATAAAGACTACATATTCATGCTAAGGCTCAAGACATGGCCCTAGCAAAATAAATTAATTACAAGCAATCATAAAACAAAATATTATTAAGAACATGGATAGAAAACACCTCGTAGGTAAAAAGCATGAAATTCTCCAAAAATAATGCGTTTGTAACCCTAATGGCTAAAAAGCCTTATTTATACTACAACAAAATAAAATCCTACCTCGAAAAAGTCTTAGAATAAAATTAGGAAACATAATAAAATAATAAACTAGCGATAAAATGTTTCCTATTTGAACTGACTTATTAGAAAATCAAAATTTTGATTGACCAAATCAACTTCGATTTGGTCCCGAAAGGTCCCTTTCGAAAGCTTAAGTGCTCTCCATCAAATCCCCAAAAGGAATCTTCCTTAAAATATTCCATCTTGACCTCCAAAATACCCATACGTTAAAAAACGTCAATCGTGCGCGTTGGGCCTTCTTTTCTTTGCCACAGTCAAACGGTTTGGTAGAAAAATCTAGAATTTTGACGCAATCATCTTGAAAGACTCACGAACATCCTTCAATTGGAATCACTCTAAAATTCATCTGTTTGATCACTTATTGCTCAAGAGGAAGTCGCATGCCCTACATTGAAAATACACAACAAAGTATCAAAATTCTACCAAAATAACCAATAAACTATAACTAGTAAAATATAGGGAGTTTTAACGAAACACTTCCGGTACTGTTCACTTTTAACGAAAAACGATATTTTTACCTTTCTCTGGTACTATTCACTACACCGTTATTTTTCATTAAAACTAAAGATTTTTCGACTTTTCGTTAGTTTTCCTTAAAATATATGGTATAATATGGACTCATCAAATATCCCCAAACTTAGCTTTTTGCTTGTCCTCAAGCAAAACAAAACTCAAAAACTACAAATAGAAACTAGCAAACTAAAAACTTTAACAAACTTGACTAAAACAATTTTCACCTATAAGTTGCAATCCATATAAAAATTTAAAATTATAACATCTTCTCAAAAGTTCCAACCAATACCACCACAGAGTCCAAGCCATTTAGATTTAATCAACTCATGAACTTCTTTTGTTGTAAAGTGAACCAACATGATTAAAGAGACTCGACCAAAACCCTAACCACTCGTCCTTTTTATTTAATACATACTATCTTCAAACATAACTTCTTTTTTTCCTTCTTTTCGATTTTTCAATTTTTTATAGTAATAGTAGTGATTGTGCAATGTTAGTTCACTTAAGCTTTCGATCCAACCCATGTAACAAGTTTTAGGTCAATGACTCCCAAACCACAAGGGCTTTAGGGCACTAGGTGTAAACACCCCTAAGGACTTACTAACTCGAGTTGAAAAGGCTACGAAACCAACTAACCACCTTGCCCCATGCCAAGACTCTATTGTTTGATGCAATAATCACTACTGATTAGGCATGACTGACCTGGTTACTAAGCAAAGTCCCAGGTGGAACAATTATTACTTTATTTATAACAATAACTAAACTTTACTTTTATTAGAACAAAAAAAAAAAAAAAAAACTCCGATGAAAAGCAAGTGCTTCAATCTCACCCCCAAAAATCATGTTGGTGTGAATGTGCTAATTGTCAAAGGATAACTCATGAATTAGTGCCTAAACAACAATAAATAGAAAATACTCTAGAGCTGCGAAAGCTATCTCCTTCATTTCCTCTCTCTCTCTCTCTCTCTTCATTTCTCATAAAACTGAAACCCTAGCTTCTATCTTCAACCCAGAACGTCAAAACATGAATCCATCTCCATCTCTGTTAAAAACGGAACCCAGCCACAGCGATCTTTGACTCATGCATGTATGTTTTCTGTATGTAGACTTGGGGATCCGAGTAAGGCCAAGGGGAATAGGAACTGCAAGGAGAAATGGCTCACTCATGGAGCTGCTGTACACACAGCAAAGATGGCTGCAAGAACTCGGATCTACAAAATGAAAGGTAAATCAAATCCCTCCACTGCGTTAAAATTAAGCATGGTTTAATATCTCTGAAAGTCATACGGATTTGTGAAATGTTTCTGTCATGCATTCATAGACCTAAATTTCGTCAATGCTCATGTAATTTTCTGCGTGGTTGCATGCCTCCATGTGACAAATATTGAGCAAAAACTGTGAATGATACTGGATCTGTGACATGGCTTTGATGAATGTCCACCTCTGTGTTGCCTGGACTGGAAAAGGATCCTGATCCCTCCCTCTTAATTCACCAAATCAAGAGATCCGTGCCATTGAAATTTGATCAAACGGTTGAAGTTATTATAACTTTTAAAGTGAGCCCTATTTGTAACCGTTTGTTTTAATTTCAATGGCACAAATTTCCTAATTTGATGGATTAGAAGGAAGGGATCCGGCGAGGATCCCTTTCCGCCTGGACCACCCGCAAACTTATTAGTAAAACAATATTTTAATGAAATATGAGAGTGAGTGAGCAAAAGGGATTTCCAAGCAACACATGGGTCTTCTCAGCAATCCCCACTGTAAGTATGACTAAACTCAGCCTCAAATTCTTTTTTGCATTCGTGTAGATGATGAATGCTCAGATAAATGTTGATGAATGGATCACTGATGAATGCATATTTTTGTATCTTTATTGTTTCGTTTATAGAAGAGTACGGTTTATTCCTCCTTTTTTTTCATGTATTTTTTATTCTTTTTTCTTGTATTACGAGGAGTTAGATTTATGTCTTCTTGACTAGGTGTAGCTTATTTTTGTTATTAATAAAATTCCTTTCGTACCGTCGAGGTTTTATGAAAAAATAAAATAAAAAAATGCAATAAACTACAATGGAACGCTTCCCATTTTCAACAAGGGATAAACCTCTCAATATAGAGCAGGAATTCCAACATAGGTTTGAAATTTGATGAATACTTTCGACAACTTTGTTTTTTAATTTTAATTTTTAATTCTTTCAGAGTGTTCGTCCTGTAAAGTTTGGCAAAGCTAGAATGTTGTTCAAGCATAATTCGATGCAAATAAGTTTGTTTGGCAAGCATTGATCAACTAGCCATTTTTGTACTGCATTTTTTTAGGGGTGTGATATCCACACACCCCATTTTACTTCTCACACCTTTTTAATTTTTGGCCGTTGGATCGGCTTAAAGAAAATCAAAAGACAAAAATTATCAAGGGGTGTGTGAGAAGTAAAATGAGGTGTGTGGAAAGCACAACCCTTTTTTTTATCTAACAAATACCTTTCACATAACATCAATACTATTACATGCTATACCACATATTAACACTAACCTTCTATTCACATATACCATTTGCTCGAAGTTTGTTTCTGATCCTACACATATGTGCCACAGCATCACAGATGTTCAATCTATCTCTAGGCAACTCCGCTGAGCAAGCAACACCAATTTCTAAAACAGAGATTAAACTTCCTATGATTAGGACGCGATTCCTTGCCCTCCCCTCATCAGCATGATTGCTCTCTTGAACAAGAACGGGATCCAAAACCTCTTCCACTTGCTCAAGCAGAGCTGTCTTCACAAAGCTATAAAGGTTTGAAGTTCCCTGAAACATGTCATCCGTAGGTCTTTTTCCTGTAAATATTTCCAACAGGAGGATGCCAAAGCTATACACATCACCTTGTGTCCACACTTCATGTCCCATGCCATATTCTGCATTCCACAATTCAGAACATTAGATTCTAAATTTCCAGTGAAGTGCTAAAAGCTCATTTAATTTTTGAAAATTTTAAAATAAATACTGCACAATTTTAAAATACTAGCTAGGAACAAATAAACTACCAATTGTATTTACCTGGAGGAGCATAACCAATAGTTCCCTTGATCCCTAAAGAACTTGATTGATTTCCCGAACAATTTTCAGCAGCTTTTGGTAGGAACCTCACCAACCCGAAGTCACCTACATGTGCAATCATGTCCTCATTGAGAAGAATATTGCTGGGTTTAAGGTCACAATGAACTATTGGCGTCTCACAATGATGATGGAGATAATCCAATGCCATAGCAACATCAATAACAATATTCAACCTCTGAGAAATTGTTAAGCTTCTTGGCCTCTCTTTTGTCTCACCAATTGTATGAATTGGATGCAACCATTCCTCCAAGCTCCCGTTAACCATGAACTCATAAATTAAGGCCTTGAAGTCTTCGCCGCGATAATCAAAACCAGAGCATGCCGAGAGTACCTTGACAAGATTACGGTGTCTAATATTTTTGAAAGCCTCGCACTCAGCAATAAAACTTTTGTAAGCTCCACGACGAACAAGGTTGAGTACCTTGATGGCAACTGTAGTTTCACCTTCCTCAAGTACTCCTTTATAAACGGACCCAAAACTGCCCATACCGACTAAGTTGGTTGAGGCGAATCCATTTGTTGCCTTTAGAAGACTTTGGTAAGACATCTGGGGAAATTTGTCCGAATCACTTGTAGCGCGACCCTTTTTGTCCCTCCGTGAGCAATAAAGGTACAAAAAGGTTAGTGCAAAAATGACTCCAAGAATCCCACAAACGAGGGAGAGAACCAATTTCATGGTTAAGCTCAATCCTTCCTTTTTTGCATGCTGGAGTTTGCACTTTGGCAAATGAAACTCAGGTATGCCCCCACAAAGCTTGTTGTTTCCTTCAACTGATGTCGCCGTTGCATTCTTGAACACTCCTTTGATCGGCAACATGCCCTCAAAATTGTTATAAGATAGATTGAGAGATTCCAAAAATACAAAACGTTCTAAGAATTCTGGAATTGTGCCTGACAAGTTGTTGTGAGAGAGAGACAATTCTGTAAGACCTCTTAGTGAATTCAAAGTTGATGGAATCGTCCCATTGAAGAAATTTCCATGCATGTCTAGGTACTCTAATTTTATACAACTAACAAGACTTGTCGGAATTTTACCGAATAACATGTTATCAGAGATATCTAAATACTCTAGATTTATTAAAATTCCTATGTTCTCTGGCAGGGAGCCTATAAACTGATTTTGTCCTAAACTCAAATCATACAAGTTCAGCAGACCAAAGATTTCTTGCGATATGATACCGCTAAAATTGTTGGCACCAAGATGTAAGATCCTCAAATTCTGACACTCTATTAAACTCGGCGAGATATTGCCTTGAAGTTTGTTGCCTGTTAAGCTTAACACATTTAATTGACTTAAATTTCTGAAAGAGGATGGAAGATTGCCACAGAGAGAGTTCCAACCAAAAGATAATTGATATAACTTGTGCAGCTTTCCTACACCAGGGGGAACGTGACCTGATAATTGGTTCCAAGACATCAACAAAAGCTCTAAGTTAGCCAGATTTGCAATCTCATTCGGGATACTTCCTAATATTTTATTTCGAGCAATATTGAATTTTTGAAGAGAATAAGACAGGTTTCCTATGCATTGAGGTAAGGTGCCCCCAAAATTGTTGGTAAACATTTGGAGAATTTCTAAATGGGTGGCATTGCTCAAATCGCAGAGAAAGGCCAAGTCATCAATTCCCCCACTTCCGAGATGGTTGTCAGCAAGGACTAACCGCTTAAGCTTATGCAAATTCGTCAAAGGAGGGACCTTTCCATGCAGTTGGTTACCTCCCATCGAAAATTCAATTAGATTTGATGCATTAGATAAGGAAACAGGAATAGATCCACTGAATTGGTTAATGGAAATGGAAAATGTGTGGAGACTCGGAAAGACCATACCTAAGTTTGAGGGTAGACTCCCTTGGATTTTGTTGGATAGCATAGCAAGGACTGTGAGAGAAGAGAGATTAAAGATTGAGGGAGGAAGCATACCCGAAAAGCTATTTACATCAAAAGCAAGAAAGCTAAGATTGGTCATTCGGCCAAAAATATCCGGGATAGTGCCACTCAAATTATTAAAAGATGCGGAGAACTTTTCAAGAGATGATAAATTGCTAAAAGAAGTCGGGACTCCCCCTGTAAAGTGGTTAGAGTGGATGGAAAAAACTCTTAACTTTGACAAGAGGCCAAGCTCATTTGGAATTTTTCCCATCAGCACATTGAAACCAACAGCGAGCCTGAGGAGCTGAGAGCAACGCGACAAGTTGGTAGGAATTTCTCCACTCAATGAATTGTTGTTTAACTGTAGGTCTTGCAGTCTGTGCAGGCGGCGGAATTCTGGAGGAATTTCATGGCCTAAGCTGTTTTCTTGGAGATCAATGACTCTCAAAAAACTCAAGTTCCCAACATGCGGCGATATAGATCCTGCAAGTTTCAAGGACGGCAGGCTCAAGCTTGTCACCCTCTTATGACGACGACCACATGTAACGCCATGCCAAGAGCAAAAGTGGATGGTTTCATTCCATGAAGTCAGGACTTGAAAAGGGTCATGAGTTATGCTAGCCTTGATTTCAAGCAAAGCGAGTCTATCTGTCTCATTTCCCGGAAGGGCGAAACAAGGAAGGCAAGAGTGGAGAATGAAAGCATGCATAAAAAAGGATGACAAAAACACTGCAGAAATGGAGTTGTAAAACCCCATCCCCATGATGATGCTATTTGTTTTGTGCGGAAGTTAAAACTCAATTTATAAAAGAGTATAGCAGGATTGATGGTTTGTCTACCAGCTTTAGCAGAATCCAATTTATATTCATAACCAGAGTGCTCTGTACACATGCAGTGGATCTACAGCCACCGATATCGTAGTCGATGAGGGATAGCATTGACCTGACCAAAAAAAATCTCTCTTTTCTTTTTAACTTAATTTTATGAATAAATTCAATTTACATCTAATTTTGTGAACTAATATTAGGAATATTTCACTTTTTTGAAAATTATTGTATTCATTCTTCTTTATTTTTTTAATGTACAATATTATATACACTAAAGGATGGAGAGAGGGCTAAGCCTCACAATGTGCTATTAATAATGCGGTTCAAATTTGTCTTTAATGTAAATTGAACCTAAGACCTCTTACTTTCAATGAAGAAGAATATTACTAGACCGTAATAATAAGTGGCGTATTCATACTTTAACTTAAAACAAATGAAAAAAAAGAGAGATATTGGTTTTGTGTGAAATTTTCTCTTTGATTATAAACAGTATGACACAGTGACTCGCTTGATTTTTTTTTATAGAACACAGTGACTTGCTTGATGAATGTGTTCTTGTTGAGAAATTTTTATGGATACCAAAAATACAAGTTATTTAGTATATTATTATACGTGTTATAATAAAGGTAGGCGACAATGTTGACGTATGTCATCTTTTGGGTATATTAATAAAATAAAAAATTTACGTTTTATATTTGAGTGAAATAATAACATCACATAATCGTATTTGGATGCATCAAAAATGCTCATTCTTGTTCATCGATAGTATGAAAAAAAAAAATATTTATCTTTGGTTTTGTACAATGACAATTGCTAATTTTGGTGTAGTGTCGTGTCATTTATTTATGCCAACAAATAGTGTAGGTCTTCTGACCCTCTCCTACCGGATTGGTGCGTGTTTGCGTCTCGTGATTGGATTGAGGATATACACAAAAGAATACGGTAATGCTAAGAAGACTAAATTTATAGATAAATTTGTAAACTAAATGATGCGTCGCCAATAAGAATCATCATGTTTATCAAAGTTTAATTCATAATTCAATTATCAACTTTCATATCATACAAAATTTTGCCTATAAACTTTATTTTCCTAACATTATCCAAAGAACAAGTAATGGGAACTTTACCACACCAAAATAAATAATAAAGCTCCGCCACTCTAAGTTATAAGAGAAGATAAAGGTTTTAAGTCACAATTACGGTCACTTCATACCATTAGTGTATAATTTAGTAGTACTTTTATTTTTTGTAAGTAAGATTTCTTAAATGAAATCCAACTTTAAGGGGATCAGCTTTTGTGCATCAACACTTGGTTGTAAATTATCTTGATTCTAGATTACGGAATATTTGGACTTGACTTGGCATATATGCGTCAACTATATTGTCTCTAGTATTGGACAGTGCCGTGGTAGACTGGTAAAGATAGCTGGCATTCATCAATTATTAGTAGCCTACCAGCTTGAAATAAGTGTTGGAAGATAGCTACTACATTGTTTTGATTCTATTTTCTTGCTTAGCTTACAAGTTAACTACAAAACGAAGTGTCATTAGCGAGGGTCAAATGCCGTCGAAAAAGGTATTTTGCCGTCACAAATACTTATTTCAGACGAGGAAAAGCCCTCGTTGGGCGTCGCATATTGTCCCATTGGAAATACTTTTTTTTCCAACTAGCCGTCGAAAATACTTTATTATCGACGCACAAGACTTGTCATTAGTAGTTAGTTTTTCGTCGGAAATGAATTTTCAAAATGACAAACTTATTTTATTTTTGACAAGGAAATGTGGTCGTAAATAATTATATAGTTGTTGAAATTACTTTCCAAAAGACATGTTTTTTGCGATGATGTTGTTCTGACCAAATAATTGTGTCAGAAAATTTTTTTTCCAACAAAATAATTTTTATTTGTGAAAGTGCACAATCGTCGCAATTACAATTTTCAACCATTAACTACTACTCTAATGTGTCACAAATATTATTTTCATCGGAAAAAAAATAAAATAATAGACATTTCCAATGGAAATTGAGGCAAGAAATATATGCTTTTTGGTAAAAATTCCATTGAGCATTGTTTAAAGAATACTTTGTAATATCATTAATAAAAATAAAAGTACGTAAGATCAATGTGGTAAAACCAATACATTCTTTACAAACCTAAGATATGTTTGAACATATTAACACTAGTCCTCAAACTCCGAAAATGCAAACTTGAATTCTTTTGAAGACGTGCAGATAAAAGTATCTTCTCTTTTGTGCATACAGTATATGTAGCTCCTTCATTACACCTTCATATAGCTCCTTCATGTATCTTACTACTTCATGCAGCTCACTACAGTTTATGTAGCTCCTTCATCACTCCTCATATCTCCCTACACCAAAACCACACAACCACAAGTTTAATTATGATACAAATATCAGACTAACTAGTAGCAAAGCACAAAAAATCAGCAACTACATAAATGGGTAACTCCACTTTATTAACAAATAAACAAACATACAAAAAATGAAAAATTTGAGATATACTCACAGTGGGGTTTGGAAAACGATGCCAAAGACCTTATTTTCGTTGTTGTTGGACATGGAAACGACTTGGGCACCTATCTTTTTGTGGCGGAGAAGCAAAGCTTCCGACTTGCACTCTCCGATGAACTCCTCGGCGACCTTCTTGAACCCCAGCTTATCCAAATCTTCATCTGTCAAGGTTAAGGAAGAAAGCACCTCACAAAGCTCTGTACCTATGAGTACCCATAAGAAAAAATGGATTAAATCACAAAATTACCAACAAAAAAGAAAGGTAGCTTGGGGTTTGAGTTTCTTATATTATGTACCTCTGGTAGTGGTTGTGGTGGAGAGTGAGTTGGGGACATGCCGATGGTGGTTGAGGAGATGGAGGCGAAATGGGTTTTGGAAAATGAGGGAAGAAAGCCGGTGTGACGGTGGAGCAAGAAGGGTGGCGGTGGGGTTCGTAATCGGACGGCAGTGGTTGATTTCAAGGAGAGGAAAGACTTCTATTCCAAGATTGAGAGATAAGATGGTGGTGGCTGCCATGATGTTGGGTCACGGTGATGGAGATAGGTGATAGGAGCATATTTATGCGACTTAGTTAGCTTGTTTTTTGGCATTTATCTAGTTAGTTTCTACTTATTATAGTGATTTAAGCTATTTTCATGTGTTTGTAGGTTCAAATGACAAAGTTGGCAAGAAAGTGCATTTTGATGCAGGTTTGGACTGAATTGGAGTGCATGCATGTGGAGCAAGTTAGATGGATGTTTTATGTGCTTAAATGAGGCTAGGAACATGCTACAAATCTGGAGAAACAAATGCAAGTTGCAAGAATGGTTGGTGCACTCATCTAACCTACCAGAAATTGAATGGATGGTGTACTCATTTCCTACCAGAATTTGAGTTGTTGGTGCACTCATTTAACCTATTAGAATGGTTGGTGCACTCATTTAACCTACTCACCTAAATTGATGGCTGGTGCACTCACCTAACCTACCTAAATTGAATGGAATGTGCACTCACCTAACTCACCTAATCCATCCTCTCCCTATAAATAGCTGTGCATTTCATTAGAGAGATCAATCCACCCTTCACCATAACTCACCTATATCCATCCACCACCATAACTTACCACTCATCCATCATCCCACACCTTGTGCCGCTGCAAAGAAGAATAAGGAGCATTGCTTGGAGTTGTGCTAGTCATTCAATTTGGATTGCTGGAGCATTCTAGGTGTATTCTACTTTGGTTTTCAATGTTTAATTTCAATTGTTTCTGTTTAATTGCAAGTATGAGGAACTAAACCCTTTTTGGCTAGAGGGGAATTTCGAAACCATGAACATATTTGTGTTATGGATTGATTAATTCCAGTTGTGATTTCATAAAGTGTGAATGCAATTTGCTTAACTGTTTTATTCAAAACTTATTCTTGTATGTTGATTAAGAAGGCCTACTTAGTTTGCATGCTTGAATTTGATGCTAGAATATATATGAGTTTCACCTAATCGTTACAAATTTATATTCATGAGTAGTGAAGGTTGCTAGTCACAATCGCGTTAATTGAATTCTTGGCAAACGTATCATGCATTCATAGTTACGAATGTCTCGTCAACACTTATGGTTTTCATGGAACGTAATGATCTCTGATTGTATCTCTATTATGCATTCATGTAGGGGACATTTGGAGAATGATTTGGGTTGTCGCATGCATTCGTCCAATTCAATAAGTAAAGGAAAATCTAAGGGTTAATTAGTGCATCACGGTTAATCTGGGGTGTTGAGCTACATAATTTATTGAAAAGCAACTGGAAATCGTTTCATAAGCAAGTGTGTCATGTGTGGAGATGGACCCTCTAACTAGCCCATCATCCATTTAATTCACCAAATTAGTCCAAAGTCTGTCTAGTTCTAGTTTCTGTTTTGTTTTACTTAAAATTCGTCCAAAACCCAATCCCCTTTACTTTAGTGTATCAAAATAGTTAGAATATGTCTTAGTTTGTGTTTTTAAGTGTTTTGAGTCAAGTTAAAACCAATTTCCGTTCAAAGTCATTCCTAGTGTCTAGTTTGAGTTTATTTAATTGTTTTAAGCTGTTTTGAGTTATTCTAGTTAGTTTTAAGTCTTTTCAGGTTCTTTTGAGTTCTTTGAGTCTAGTTAAGTGTTTTCAAGCCTAGTTTAATGTTTTTAAGTCAGTTTAGAATAGATTAGCAATCCCTCCTAATCCCCGGTCCAAAACGATCCCTACTTATCCATACTACGATTGTCAACAAGAGGGTTTATTTTGTGTGTTAAGTTAATTTTTGCATCAATAGGGGAGAAGTCTGAGAGACAGAGGGAAAAGGGAAGTGAATGAGAGATGGGAGAAGTTGGAGAGATAGGGTATTCCTCCCACCCCTGATTTCCTCCCCAATTCTGCAGCACCACCTACTCCCCATTCCACTGTAACCTAACCACCAAATTTCATGCCACTTTCTTAAAAATCGGATTTTTCAGCCATAATTGAACCATTCAATGAGAACCCTCTCAATTATGTGCTTGTGGTGATGAAATTCAATCAAATTCTTAAAAAAAAAAAAAATTGCTAATCACCCAAATTATAAGTCCAATCTAAAAGAGAAATTGCATTTGTAGACATGAGAAAGAAGAGGTTTTTTACCTTGGGGTGTGATATCCACACACCCCATTTTACTTCTCACACACCTTTTTAATTTTCGGCTGTCGGATCGGATGAATTGAAGAAGATCAACGGACAAAAATTATCAAATGGTGTGTAAGAAGTAAAATGGAGTGTGTGGATAGCACACCTATATTTACCTTTTCTTCCTAATGCAGAGCGATCCGGATGTGGACTTCATCCATGGATTGCTAGAACACAAAAGCCCCCAAAGTCATAGAGAAGTAGGTTGCCACATCCTTCACCATCCTTTTAGCCTTCTCGATTTCTGCTCCCAAATCTCAATTCCAAGCGAGACCTGAAAATATATATGTCAGACCTAATAAGATATAAAACTGAAAAACAACATGTGTGAGGATTTCATGGTTTCTATCATCATCACGTATGGCTACTAGAGGATGGAGGATGGAGGATGGAGGCTAGGGTTTTGTTTCTGAAGAGGAAATAGAGAGAAGCTGCAAGAAAGAGATAATCGGCGCTCTCTTTGGAAATAGAAACTTAAGTTTTTGGGCGCCGTGTCAAAATTTTGAAAATAAAGAGCTAAAAATAAAGGCACCATGCCGAAATGTTGGCAACTCTCCAAAACACACGGTAAGGATTTAATCTCACATAAGTGAGATTAAATCCTATGGTATTATTGTAGTAAAGTTTTTTAATTAATGTCGAAGTGTGAAAAATATAAGAAAAATATACAAACGCTCGTGATGACAATCTCTACAACTTTTGTGAAGATGTCAACTCTGAAATTCGCCACTATCATCCCATAACCGTACATTAAATTTTAGTCGTCGATTGTCGTTTACGTTTACGCTCCATTCTTCTCACAGAATTTTGTTTTTCAAATTTTATTTTCAGAAAACATAATCTTCTAGTGAATTCAGAAACATGAACGGTTTGGATCGTTGATATCACATTCAAATTTTTACGGTTGGTGAAATTATTGCTTTGAGTTTATAAAGTCTCTAGAAACTATATAACATCGACTCATATTTCAGTTAACCGTAACTATTAGAATGTGATATCAACGATTTGAACCGTTCATTTGTTTGCACTGCTAAAAGATCATGTTTTCAAAAAAGAAAATCCGATGAGAAGAATAGAGCATAAATGACAATCGACGGTTAAATATAAATCAAGGGTTTATGGATTCTGGTGTCAGATTTCGGATTTGACTCCTTCACGAAAGTTGTAAAGCTTGTTATTATGAGTGATTGTATTTTTTTTTAACATTTTTCACACTTCTACATTAATTATTATAAGCATTTGCATTATTATTTTTTTCACATTTTTCACACTTGTAAATTAATTATTATGAATTTTTTCATGTGCTTTGGTATCTTAAAATTGCTTTGGAATTTTTTAATCTCACGAATGTGATATTAAGAATAAAATATTTATGAGTATGAGAGTAAAAAACTTTGCTAGATTAACTCTAAAATTGTCAGCCTAACAATCTTTTTGTTGTATACGAGTTGATTTGAACAACATCCCATGTAAAATTTATCCCACTTCTTATAATAGAATAAAAAAAAAAGTTTAAATAGATAATCATTTTTTACGGCATGTAGTTCCTCTCGCAAATACACAATCAATTCTGACAACAACTAATAACCCTCGAAAGTAAAGAAAATACAATCGACAACCACTTGTTTTCCTTAGAAATAAACAATTACTTCCAACAATTTAAACACGCCCTTGAAAAAAATACAACTATTACCAACGAATAAAAGTTTCATCGTAAATAAATGTGGCGCCAAAAATTCCCTCCAAAAAAACAGCTATTTCCGACGGCGATGGAACCCTTTTCCAAGGGCATTTTGAGTGTAGAAAATAATATGCCTCTTGTCAAACTATTTTCGAATGAGCATAAGTTTTGGTCGGAAATAATGATTTTTTCAAGGGTATTCGTAGGTCCCTGGAAAAAGTTGGTTGCAAATGACCAATTTTTTTTTTTTTGTAGTGTAAGCTGGAAAAAGCTACTACATTGTTTTGATTCTATTTTCTTGCTTAGCTTACAAGTTAAGTTGGAAAAAGTGTGTGGTAATGTTGGAAATTGCCATCTAAATAGTTTTAGAGGTTTGGATTTCAAATTAGAAACATTTTTTCAAAATATCAAACTAATGCAGGGTGCAAAGGCTAGAAACAAAATAAAACGAAAAGAAAAATTAATATACAGGGTCCATTATCTCCTAGTGCAAGGATATACCTGAAAACCTCAAAACCCCGTCTCTAGTACTATCCTCCAACATAGACAACTAGAAGAACAAAGTTGAACAATCTCATAAACAGATAGGCACAAATTGAGAAAGAAATCTCTCTGCATATTTCATTCATTCAAAAAACGTCTAACATCCCCACCTTCCTACTTACATTTAGAATTTAAAAGAGCAATAAACTTAATAACACTGAAAATTGAAAATTACATAAAGAAATGTTATTATCAGCCATAAAAGCGTCATGGCTATTATGATCATATGATCAGCCAACACCCCCCCCAAGCTGTTATTGAGTTTAATAAGTCCTACTGAATAATGTTAAGCATTCAATTTATCCCAACGATCCATAAGTGAACTAGCCATCATATCTGCATCACAAACTTTTTCACCGATCCCTTTGCACCTAACAATTATTTGTCTACCCACCAACACTATTGGTTTATTGAATATATATACATATATACTAGCATATGTCCCACACTTAGAGAGAGAAAAAAGGAATGTGGATTAGAGAGAGAAGTTTTCTTTTTTATATTTTATTTTTCAAAATTAGAGGATGATAGGATCACCCTTGGGTGAGGCTTTGAAAAAAAATTGTAACATTTAGTTTGTGTGAGTTTACTTAACTGCCCATGATTTTGTTTTGTGGTAGAAGATAAAATTGTCTTTTTACTCTTTTTCGGTTGACAAAGAGGGTTTTATTAATGTTGTTATGATTTATCCAACTTTCCTATAAACTTCTTAAGGAAAAATTTAGAGTGAAGGTAGGAGAGGGATGGCAAGAGAGAGCTCTCAACTGTGTGTAATTGCTTATTTTATCTTGTAGCCTTGCACCTTTACTTTTACTAATCACATGACCTTTACTTGCCCTACAAGTAATACAAGCTATATAGGGATTTGATTTCCAAATCTTATTGGAATCCTACTATTGATTGTTGCACTATCATGGGCAGGGGAGTCAGTAGATTGCACGCACTGCCACTGCTGCAAGGGAGTCTTCTCGCCACAAGTGAGGCTACTTGTCACTAGGGAGGCCATTCGCCGCAAGGGAGTGTGCTCGCTGCAAAGGAGTCGCTAGACTGGACGTACTATAGCTGCTACAAGGGAGTTGCCAGACTATACGCAATGTCGTTGCCTGCGAAGATGGGAACATGCCGCTGCTTGGGAGGATGAGGACGCACCGCTGCTTGCAAAGACATGTCACCGCCTACAAAGACAAGGACACACTGCTGTCTGGGAGGACGAGCCGCTGTGAGGACACGTTGTGATATTGTTGCGTTGCAGCTGTGATGAAGAGGACACGCCACTACTTTAAGGACAAAGATGCGTCGTTGCCTGCGAGGACAAGTACACGTCGCTACCTTTGAGGACACATCGCTGCATGTGAGGATTAGCCACTGTGACGACAAGCTGTGATGTCACTGCTGGCTACCACTGTTGCAGGTGTCTCCTCTGCGGCTGCACCGCCCTTGGGACTGCACTGCCTCTGATGCACATTGCGTTTACGACCTCATCACCCCCAGGACTTTCTGCTCCACATTGCTCTTACCGCTTGCTTGTCTGTGGAAGACACCAATGCATTGAAGATATTGGAAGGCATGCTCAAGCAGCACCACTTCAAAGACTTTAGTCTCGGAGTGATGATTTGATCATGCTTCTTTGTTTTAAAGGTTGGAACCTTATTATTTTTTTTTTATGTGACTGAACTCAAATTTTGTTTCTAAGCTGCTTACGTGCCCTTCCGAGAAAGAGATCAAGTCATAACATAATTCAAGTATGTTTTTTTTTTCCCTTCTTTTTTGTGTCCTAACTTTTGCTTGAGTCGCCCTTTCAGGTTTTCAACTCAACGGATTTTTTCTTCATTTTTTTTTATGTCCTAACTTTTGCTCGAGTTGTCCATTCGGATTTTCAACTCAACGGACATTTTTTTTTGCCGTGCGCAATTTATGGTCTTGTTGGCCAAGACCATTTGTTGTCACCTTCTAGGCTCATGCAAATGAAGAGCTTTTGTGTTGTCTTTTAGGCTTGTGTGGACGAGGAGCATTGGTGTGAATTTGTCAAGCAATATTGGAGAGGTCTTCCTCGCAAACTTCATAGCAAGGAGTTCTGACTAGTTGATTCTTGATGAAGTCTTTGAGGAAGAAATCTAGCATTGTGATGGGGATGGATGATCTTTGTATCAAAGTTTCATCATCTGCAACCATTCCAAGCCACTTTTGGAGGTTGACGAGAGCTTCTTTGCCTCTTCCTTGATTGGTCAACTTGTGGACAAGGCATATGCTTCTTGTGTAGTTTTTTCTGGAGTGACATGAGTCAATCCTTCAACTTCGCTTAATCGAGGCAAAGATGTAAAGTCGAAAGAGCCAAAAGTGACGGCGGTATGGTTTGACTCCACCACATCATCAAGGCATAGGTTGATGACTCTTTCTTGGGCCAGCTTCATAATGAGATCTTTCAGCACGAAGCACTTTTCAACCAGATGACTGACGATGAGGTGGTACTTGCAATATCTTGGGTTGTCGGTGCGATTCATCTCTTCTAGTTGTTTGCACTCAGGTAAATCGATCACTTTTTGTAGAGCAAGTATTCCAACATGGCAGCCATATCGAAGTCGGGGAATGGGTAAATCTTCTCCTCAAGCTCCTATAACATGCGTTTACACCTTTCTTGGTCACGAAAAGGTTCGGTTTGCTTCACATTGTTTCATGTAGAGATTTTGATGGGAGCTGTGTTGACCACAATTGATTCCTGGATAGGCTCCCTCACAGATTTTTCCATTTTTTGCCCAAAGACTTTGTCTTTTATATAGTCAGCAATCGAGTATTTCTTTCCATGATGAGCGATGCTCAACTCCACGTCGTGGGAACAAATGGCTAAGTTCTCGAAGGTTTGCGGCTTGATGCCTTGAAGAATGTAGTGCAATCCCTAATACATGCCATGTACACATATCTCGATCGTGAATATCTCTGAAAGTTTGTCCTTGTAATCAAGGCTCAATGAGTGCCAGTAGTTGACGACCAACTCATCTTTCCACTGCTTTGTATATGTGAGCTTCATCATGTTGACAATACAACGGATGGTGTAGAAACGATTTAAGAATTCCCCTTCCATTTGATCCCAACTGTTTACGGACTCCGGATCTAGGTTCGTGTACCAATCAAATGTGTTTCCTTTCAAGGAGCGGACAAACTGCTTCACAAGGTGGTTTTTCTTCGTCCCAGTGTTGTTGCAAGTTTCGACGAACTGAGCGACATGCTGCTTCGGGTTCCTATTTCCATCGAACTGCATGAACTTAGGAGGTTGGTAACCTGTTGGCATCTGCAAGCTATCAATCCTGATGGTGTTTGTGATCAAGTTTTGAAGTTGTTTGATGGAAAGAGAACCCATTGATGTAGCTTCAGACTCTGGCTTTTGCTTCCCTCCAGCCTTATTGACATGACACGCTTCCTTCTCGCCAGACTCCTCGTCATGGTAATTCTTCTTTGGGTTAGGGCTGACTTCTTCATTATATTACGACTCCAACTGGCTCATGAGTGCAGCGATCAGCATGTCCTTATCCTCGACTGTCTTGGTCAGCTTTGTAATTGCCTCATTCATCTGTGCAAGTTGTTCTTCAATAAAGGTGGCATCGATGGTCATAACTTGAGCAGCTAAAGGATATGACACTTCTGCGGACATCGATGGTACTGGTGAAGTCTCTGTGCGATGGTTGCTGGTTGGCGATCCGTGGTAGGATCCCACGCTTGCGTCCATATCTGAGGTAGGTGACAAAAAGGGCTCATTCGAGCAAGGTTCTAAAAAACGCTAAGCACTAGTCAGGCGGCAGACGGGCACCTAGCGCCTAGGCAGCTAGGTAGGGTCTAAGCTAGCGCCTAGGCGGATTTAGGTAAATTTCTTGTATATCTTGTAAATAAGTGCATATTGACACTTACAAAAATTTATACTTGTATGAAATCCATGGATAAGATAATAAAAGAATGATAAAATGCAAAAAGAGTATCCAACAAATCCAAAATTTAAAAACACATTAAGCATATATGCCATATAACCATAGTAAGGAGTATTGTAGGATGACACATGTACAATAAGTTCACAATTTAAAACCACATAAAATGCAAAATAGGAGGAAAATAAGGACATATAGTAATGTAGATAGGATTTTTTTTAATTAAAAAAAAAAAAAAAAAATAAAAAACCACCTAGCCCACCTAAAACCCAATTGATTTTTCCAACCGATTTGCAAGAAAATGCCTTGGGTCACCACCGCCCAGTTCCTAGGAGCCACCTAGGCTCTTTTTTAGAACACTGGCCTCGAGTTCTTTGAAGATGAAGAATCCTGCTTGCTGCTTTGGGGTGTCATCTTGCATGCCATAGCAGCATGTTTTGGTGCCCCTAGCAAGGCTAGGTTGATAACGAGTGCTCATCTCTAACGCTCCCCCTACTCCTTGAGTGGCACCAACTTGGAAGTGGCACGTTCAATAGTCACCGCCTTTGCTTTGCTTCGAGTCATGACGCCGAAGGATTCTCCACTTGTAGCGGAAGTACTGATACTCCTTCCCTTGGTTGCGAAAGCGGCTTGATCCTTCGATGCCATTATTTTGAAATGTGTTTGAATTTCTTGAACGGAGAAAGAGATGAGAGGTAGAGATTGTCCCACCGGACATGCCAATTTTGTAAACACGAAAATCCTATGACAAATGAGACAATAACACGTGTACAAAGAATATGTGCATTAACGTAATTGTAAGGTTACAATCTCTGTTTATAAGTTTCCTCTGATTCAATCTCTGAAAGATATGTAGATGTGTAGGTTGTTAATCCAAGAGTTGCGATGACTTGATTTCGGATGAACGGTTGTCGCGAGGTTTTGGCTCTTGGTGATTTGAAGGATTGGCACGGGTAGTAGTGCTTGATGATTCTTCGAAGGTTTGGTGAAGAACGCAGAGAACTTTCTGAATTCTTGAAAGTGTTTTGGGGATTTGGGTGCATGAGCTTTGGCAGGGTCTAGGTGCTTTCTGGATGATTTTTGGCCCCTTTTCTTTGTCTTGGAGCCTCGTATTTATAGACTATTCAAGCCTTGACTATGGATGGATTTGGTCTTGATTATGGGCTTGATTAATTGACGAAAGAATCAGGTTTCGATTTGTGGGCTAATTTGTGATTTGACTCCATCAAATAACATTTGATTTTGTTAAGTTAAAATTAAATAATTCCTTTCTGCCAAGTGTTGATATGTGTCCTTGTTGATGAGTTGTCCGATTTTGATGAGCCACATCCATGTGTTCGATTTGTGAGACACATGGTGTATGCCATATATGCCCTGAAATGTCGAAACTTTAATGTATTGGTGAACATTTATTTCACCGAAATTTTGTTGTCTACACTACTATAGAATGCTTCTCATTTTCAACCAGGGATAAACCTCTCAACATTGAGCAGCAATTCATATATTTCCTACGTAGGACACTTCATGTCCCATCCCATATTCTGCATTCCACAAATCAAAACATTAGATTCTAATTTTCAAGTGAAGTGCTAAAAGCCCATTCCATGTTTGAAAAATTCATAATAAATATTGCACAACTTTAAAATACTAGCTAGGAAAAATAAACAACTGAGTGTATTTACCTGGAGGAGCATAACCAATAGTTCCCTTGATCCCTAAAGAACTTGATTGATTTCCCGAACAATTTTCAGCAGCTTTTGGTAGGAACCTCACCAACCCGAAGTCACCTAAATGTGCAACCATGTCCTCATTGAGAAGAATATTGCTGGGTTTGAGGTCACAATGAACTATTGGCGTCTCACAATGATGATGGAGATAATCCAGTGCCATAGAAACATCAATAACAATATTCAACCTCTGAGAAATTGTTAAGCTCCTTGGCCTCTGATTTGTCTCACCAATTGTATGAGTTGGATGCAACCATTCCTCCAAGTTCCCATTAACCTTGAACTCATAAATTAAGGCCTTGAAATCATGACCACGATAATCAAAACTAGAAAATGCCGAGAGTACCTTGACGAGATTACGGTGTCTAATATTTCTTAAAGCGTCGCACTCAGCAATAAAACTTTTGTAAGCTCCGAGACAAACAAGGTTGAGTACTTTGACAACAATCGTTTCACCTTGCTCAAGTACTCCTTTATAGACAAACCCAAAACTGCCCAGACCAATCAAGTTGACAGAGGAAAATCCATCAGTAGCTTTGAGAAGACTTTGGTAAGAGATTGAGAGAAAATTTTCTAAATCACTTGAAATCCGCTCTATTTTTGCCCTCTGCGGCTGACAAAGGTACAAAAAGACTAGTGCAAAAGTAACCCCAAGAATCCCACAAACCAGAGAAATAATCAATTTCATTGTTGGGCTCAATCTTCCCTTGTTGGAATGTTGGAGTATGCACTTTGGCAAATGGAATCCAAGAATTCCCCCACAAAGCTTACTATTTCCTTCAATCGATGTGGCAGTTGCATTCTTGAAAACCCCCTTCATTGGTACCATGCCCTCAAAGTTGTTATAAGATAGATTCAAAGATTGCAAAACTTGAAGACGCTCAAAGAATTCTGGAATTGAGCTTGACAAGTTGTTGCGAGAAAGATATAATTCATTGATTCCTCTTAGTGAACTCAGAGATGATGGAATCATCCCTTGAAAGAAGTTTCCTTGCAGGTCTAGAGATTCAATTTTTATGCAACTACCAAGACTTGCTGGAATTTCCCCAGACAGCATGTTATAGGGGTGGGTTCAAAAAACCGAAAACCGAAAAAAACCGAAAACCAAACCGAACCGAAACCGAAAAAACCGAACCGAACAAAAAAACCGAACCGAATTGAAAAAACCGAACCGAACCGAATTCTTTTGGTTCGGTTCGGTTTTAGTGATCTAGAAACCGAACCAAACCGAACCGAACCGAATTAATTAAATTAATTTTTTTATTTAATTATTTGTTTTGGATATTATTTTCTAAACCCAATTTGTAAGTTAAAATATGCTAAACCCAATGTGTTGCCAAACTTTAAGCTCAAAATATTACAAAAAAGTCCTATAAAAACTTTAAACCCTAACCTATTATTTATCCCCCATATAAGGTTCCGGAGCCAAACCTCATCCTGAAGTACCTACATCCATCTCCATAGCACTGTCTACTTTTGTCTCAGCTTTCTTTTCCAAATCTACTCTCATATAACATGTAACAGAATCTATAAACATTTATTTCGGGTAGATTACTTAGGGAATTTGTGATGGAAAAGAATCCAACACACACTAAATAAATCCACCCACGCATTTCTTTTACTAATCAAGTTGTCAACATGCAGTTACAAGCAAACAACCCTGATCTTTGAACAACATCATACAATTTAACTTTTCTAAGTCATTTGTACGATTTTTGTGTTGTGATGTTGTTAGTTTGGACTTTGGAAGACTTGATTGATGATTTTAGTTCAACTTTAAATGTTTATTTTCATTGTCTTTGATTATAGTTAGAATGCTTGTGTTATGATTGTGTTGGATACGTTAAAATTTAAAATTTCAATGTTTTTCATTTTTTGAAAGAAAAAAAAAACAAAAAACCGAAACCGAACCGAAACCGAACCGAAAAAAACCGAACCGAAAAAAAACCGAACCGAAAAAAACCGAAAAAAAAATGAACCGAACCGAACCGAACCGAAATTTCGGTTTGGTTTCGGTTTTGGCAAAAAACCGAACCGAATTAAACCGAACCCACCCCTAGCATGTTACATGAAAATACTACAGATTTATCAAATTTCCAACTTCTTTGGGAAGGAAACCAGTCAACTGATTTTTAGAGAAATTCAATTCTACATAGGAAGATGACAGACCAATGACTTGAGGGGATATGATACCACTAAGGTTGTTATTAGCAAGAGTCGAGGAAATCAAATTCTGACACTTAATAAACTTGAGGGAATATTACCGGCAAGTTTGTTATCGGCTAAACTCAATATATATAGTTCACTTAAATTCCCAAATGACGAGGGTATATAGGCGGAGAGATTGTTAAAACCCAAATCTAATTCATATAACTTCCGAAGCTTTCCCACGTCAGTGGGGATGCTTTCTGAAAATTGGTTATGAGCAAACCAAATGCTCTCTAGGTTAGTCAGATTTCCAATCCCATGGGGGATGCTTCCTGATATTTTATTGTATTCAGCGTGCAAGTAGGCAAGAGAAGAAGACAAGTTGGCCATGCATTGAATTAAATTAGCCCCAAAATTATTTGTATCAAACAGCAGTTTTTGTAAACGGGTAGCATTAATTAGATCGCAAACAAAGCTCAAGTCATCGATTCCCCCCTTCCAAGATTGTTGTAAGCAATATTCAAGGACTTAAGATTAACTAAATTTTTCAAAGAAGGAACTTTCCCCTGAAAGTTGTTTCCATCCATCCAAAGAGAAGTTAGAGTTGAGGCATTACATAACGAAATAGGAAAAGGTCCATTAAATTTGTTGGTGCCCACAAAATGTTCTAGACTTGGAAAGACAATTCCTACGTTTGGAGGTAAAGCGCCTTGGATTCTGTTAACTGTAGCATCAATGACACTAATGGAAGAGAGATTATAAAGTGCGGGAGGGATCACACCTGAGAACCTATTACCACCATGTTAACCCTAAAAACTACCAAGCCTAAATGGCACGCAGGCCGAGTAATTAATAATCTAACTATGTCCTTTGGTTGTGTGCGGGACGTGCCAACTTGTCGGCCGAATTCGGCTGGGGAGTAAAATATGTTGATGTGCCGTTGGGCGCGCTGCTGATTTCTTGATCTTGCGACTGCAGTTGAGGAAGGAACACATCTCGACTTTCGGGTTCTAAAGCCTGAAAACGAGGCTGCTAGTTCTGCGAAGTTCATGAATCGTAAGCACTGGGCTCGATATCGATAATTATATTCGTGAGAGTATAAGTACACCGAACTGGTATCATACCATAAGGACACAAATACTCAAAAGAGATAAATGTCTTGATTGTAAATGTGGTTCGATAGTTGGAATGCCGAACTCTAAAATGTACTTGTGAATATCCAATCATTTAACAAACTCGGCTTTCAATGTGCCAAGCCTAGTAACCTGGTAACACCTCACTTCACCGAGAAGGCAGATGAGATGACCTCTACCAACAAGGACTTGGAAATCCTTGTTGACCGAGACTTGGATAAATAACCAGTCGGTCTCGAAGTAGTGCTGTTTATCCAAACTGAAGATGTCACTAATTTCCTTCACATTACTGTTTATCCAAACGGAAGATGTGTTGGCGAGAAGAAATGGGGAGAGGAAAAAATCTCAGGGTTGTTAAGAAGCTTTGCGTAGGGCAATTTGTATGTTGATTTGAAGGGGCTTTCACGTTGTACAGCCTCATGTATTTATAGCAGCGAACCCCCTTCATGGCCGAACTAGAAATGTATTCGGATTAAAACTCCTCAACCAAATCTGATTAAGTTTCAGCTAATCCAAGCTCAAATAGGATTTTGAACCCAGCTCCATAATGAACCAGATTCATCTCCTAATTCAAAGCATCATTAGCTTTAAGACTCCTTGTTGCACTAGGGTTTAACTGCCTTACCTTTATCCAAACCAATCCTTCTTGCAATAAGATTCGGCCATCCTTAACTGGACGGCCCATAACAAGATTCTAGATGAATGTTACTGGGCCCAAGAATGACTCCAAGCTCGGCCCAAAATAATATTTTGGGCCCAAACATTGCCCCATCACTTCTGTGGTCCTCGGCCTACATTCTCTGGTTAAGCCTCGACCTTGAAGTGATTTTCTGTCAAAGAGTAAACCCTCAGTATATTCCTTCTAGAAATCCAAAGAACATTGCAAGCCTCGACCTTGAAGTGATTTTCTGTTAAACAGTAAACCCTCAGTATATTCCTTCTAGAAATCCAAAGAACATTGCAAGCCTCGAATACTCCAAACGTCTAAACGCATTTATTAAGCATGGTCTTTCACCCATCAATCTTCTGACCACATTGCACCACTTGACAAATGGTAACTCCCACGTTCTCCCACTTATGTCTCTTTCTGCATAACTCGACACGTGGCAGTTCCTCATTGCGACTGTCCATCTTCAATCATGCGTGCCTCCGCGTTTGAGGCGTGCAAACGTCGAAACGTCTCTTCATCATAAATTTCGCATTACAAACAATCGTGCAACCTAATTCCCGTGCTTTTCAGCCTCTTCACTTGGATTTTCAAAAATCCGTAATGATTATAGAATCCTTTGGTTGAATTTACCCTTCATTTCTTAAATTTAAATCATTGATCTTCTTCCTAATTGCCTATAAATACCTTGCCCAATTTCATTTAAACGTTCACGCTTTTAGCTTTCACAAATCCCTACTATTTCACTCTCAACCCAGAAAAAACAAACTTTGAAACCCAGAAAAACCTCCAACCTTCATCAATGGCCTTCAACACTTTCATCACCAAGCTTACTGAAGAATGCAACAAGTGTCACAACTTTATTGATTGAAATGCCATCAAAACCCTTCAGTTTGAAGGTGATTCAAGCGCCTTTCACCAGATTCTTGGACCACTATTTCAGGATGACGTCCTAGAAACCATCACCGAGATGCTCAAAGCCCATTGCTTGAAACTTTTATTTCAAGGGTATGATTGGTCGAAATGGGGACTCGGCCAAACCTCAAGGAGTTTGGCCCTCAACCCCTGCAACCTAGATGGCTTGGGTCAAACGGATGGAAAAGTTCTTTGGCAAAGAATAAAAATCCCTCGGCATCTTCAACGCATCAAACGCTCGACCATCGAGTTTAGCACGGATCGGGAACTCATTGCAGTAGCTCTAAGAGTTTAATGCTCGACCACCAATACCATGGTGCGCCTTCTTGGCCCCATTGGCCCAATTGTGCTTGATATAACAACCATACTTGGCTCTCAGTTCGACCATCCTTGCCAACCTTAATCGTTGCTTGGCCGAGGCCACCGTTAACAAGATCGACCCACACCAAAATGGCCCACTCTGGATCTTCCAGCTATGGTTGCAGGTTTACTTCGCCACTCCTAGGCCAAAGGTCTCTAGCTTCAAGTCTTCTAAAACACTAGGCAACCAGTTGGCTTCCTGTCCAACTCTTCTTCACTCAGCCGAAGAAATCTTCAAATATTTTTTCGGCTTAGAAGATCTTTCTGATGACGAATTCCTGATTTGTCATCATCCTATTAAACTTCCCTCATCTGCATGGGGTGAGACAGAAGACGCTGATCTTCGACAAAACTGGGGGGCGTTTATGCTAGTTCATGACATTCATTTTGGTTGTGATGCTCGACACACGAGCTGGGAAGTCTACCATCCTCACTTCACAGCTCGACAACTCGGCTACCTCCAAGGCTGCCATGTGCCTTTGCTTACCTCTCACTGCTTCTTGAGTTGAGGATGCCACTCCGATTCGTTGGAAATGGAGTGTAAAGAGGTTGAACGAGAATTCCAAGAGAGGTGTAAGAAATATCATCTTTAACCGAACATCCTTGAGACACATGGCACTAGCACCTTCGCTTACTAGTGGGACGCGTACGTCCAAGATTTCTTTGGCACATCGGTCGATAAGGTTGTCAAAAGGATATTCGGCAATCGATCGAAGAAGGCTCTCGCCCCAAAATCCAAAGAAACGACCCTAGGTATACGCCTTCACTTATTTCTCTGTTTATCTTATTCATACTTCATTCTAACTTGGGTTCATCTTTTCAGTGGGTCATCCA